GCGTATCAGTGACTGTACATACACCAACTGATCTGGCAAGGTTGCCCTCTCATCACCAATCACGTCGACAAAAGATTACGTTTTGTAGGAAAGCAAGACACACATATATATATATATGACGATATATATATATATATATATAAAAAGACATATCACGCATCAGTCATAGATTCCCGAAAAAAAAAAAAACAGTCATAGCACAGAAGACCATACATCTTGTCTCGACTCACATAGACACAGTACCATCCACTCACCAAGGGCCCGGGTAATCGCCCGATAATTTTCTCTGTAATGTACATGCTTATAAGGTACGCTGGGGCCCGTTCCCAGCACGTGCTGCTCCCCACGAATAGATCGGAACTTATGTTATTAAAAAATAAATTAAAAAAAAAAAAAAAAAAAAAAGGTTAAGACAGAAGACTCCAACTACAGTGTAGTACGGTAGGTCCTGCTAACCCCCGTCTTCCTCCTCCGAACGTAATGCACGCTCATCATGAAACTCAAATGTATACAAGCTATCTTATGGTGAAGTGCAGTCGCTTTCTTCAATGTATACAAGCTATCTTCTGCCTAAAGTGCAGTCAGTTTCTCTTTCTCGTGCATTGGAGTCGTTCACAACTTCACTATGATGAGGGTGCGTTGTGTTCGAGGGGTCGGAGGGGGAACAGGCATGATGCATCCACTTTCCCCTGCGTTGGAGTGGTTCACTGTGGTGATCTTATTTAATTTACCGTACAGTAACTGACATAATTGTATTCAGCTACTTTTTTTTTTTTTTTTTTTTTCTGTATTCAGCGACTTACCTCTGCACTCGACGAAAAAAGAGAGAAGAAAAGGGGAAAAGAAGAGAAAAAGAATACCCAAAATTGCTTGCAACCCCTCAACTCCATTAGGGAACTTGGGAAAGAAAGAAAAAAAGAAGCCCCTCCATTACAGGAAGTAGAAGATGGGGCCCAAGGTAGGTGGGTAGGTAGATAGATAGAGAAAGCTTGATAGATAGACATGGACAGACACACGCAGACAGAGCAAGAGAGGTAATTAGGAGAGAGAGAGAGAGAGAGAGAGAGAGAGAGAGAGAGAGAGGAGGACTCTGAAGGAGGTACGTATGAGAGAGAGGGAGAGAGAGAGGTAAGTATGAGAGAGAGAGAGAGGTACGTGTGTGTGTGTGTGTGTGTGTG